ATAGATGAATAGAGATTATCAGATAAGCATTTATACGAATGAAGCCACTTCTAACGTGCAAAAATCTAAATTTGGAGATCAAACTACGTACTATTCGCTGTTATATATTTTTAATATTATTATATGGAGCTGAGACTTGCACATTAAAAAAATCCGATTTAAAAAGAATCGAGGCTTTCGAACTCTGGTTATACCGCAGAGTATTAAAAATATCACGGACTGATAGAATTATAAATAAAGAAGTACTGGAGAGGATTGGCAAAGAAACAGAACTAATCACCACTATACAAACCAGAAAACTGGAATACCTACACCACGTGATGAGCGGTCCAAAATATGAAATTTTGAGACTCAAAATACAGGGAAAGATTCAAGGAAGAAGATCTGTTGGCCGAAGGCAGAACTCATTATTAAAGAATCTATGTGATTGGTATCAATGCAGATGGATTGATTTGTTTAGAGCAGCAAGTTCTAAAATAAAAATCGACTTAAAATAAAAAAATCGAATAAAAATAAAATAAAAAAGAAGAAGCATCGACTGGTTTCTCTGGCATACTAACTCGAAATTTTCCAATAATGCATACCTTTACCAGCTGAGTGTAATGCCTATAAAATTAAAAGTGAAACTGGAACAAACCATGAAGTGGAGATATCCAATTCACATTTTCATCATCCACATCATAACAGTTTAAAAATTCTAAATTCAATAAAAAAGAAAATAAAAAACCATAATCTAATAATATCCAAATCAGACAAAGAAAATTGCTTAGTAATTCTGGATCACACTGAATACATCAACAAAGTTACCACCTTTTTGAATAATAATGGCTTCATAGTACTTCCATATGACCCACTGAACAGATTCATTAATAAACAAAAAGCCTTTTTAAAGAAATATTCTACTTTTTTCACTGATTTTCACGCACCCTATTACAAAATCCCTAGTAACCCATTAATTCCTAGACTTTATGGTCTGTAAAATCCACAAAGAGGGCATTCCAATCCGTCCAGTAGTCAGTTTCATCAACACCCCTGTCTCCATAATTTCTAAATTCATACTCAGGGTAATCAAGGACATAACAGGTTTTTCCCACTTTTTCCATCAAAAATTCATCCCAACTAATATCTAAACTCAATCACATAAATCTCCTACCAGATATGACTATGCTTTCATTTGACGTTAGCAATCTCTTTACTTCTATACCTAAACTTGAAACTATTCAGTTAGTCCACGACCTTCTCACATCTAAATCAACTAATCCCTCAGTCATAAGACCAATAATAGAGATACTTTCCTTGTGTTTATCACAAGGTTATTTTTATTTTAATAATATTTTTTATAAACAACCTGATGGCTTGGTCATGGGAAGTTGTCTTTCCCCCTTTTTAGCTGACCTCTTCATGAATCATCTAGAATCCACTCAAATCATGACAAATAATACAATTCTACACTGGTTCCGTTACGTTGATGATTGCTTAGTGTTCATTAGAGGTAACTCAAATACAGCTTCTTCCTTAATAAACACTATCAATAACATTCCCCCTAATATTAAATTCACTATGGAATTAGAATCCAACTTCTCCAACAATTTCTTGGACCTTTCCATCAATAAAATTAACAATGTCTTTGATTATAGCATCTACAGAAAACCCACACAAACAGATCATGTCATACATTTTAATTCTAACCATCCCATTTCACACAAATTATCTGCTTTCAATAGTTTCATTCATCGTTTAGAAACCATCCCATTATCCAACATCAACTACAACCGAGAACTAAACATAATCAAACAGATTGCTTTCAATAATGGCTATAACCCTGATATCATCCATAAACTCATTTATAAAAAGAAACGTAAATTGCTTCAACAATCAGCTTACCCTAACATTACTTCAGATTCCCCATCTTACTTCTCATTACCATTTCACTGTCCAACACTCTCTGAATCAATCAAAAACACTATCTTGAATTCTGTTGAAAATATTAAGATCTCCTTTAAAGTTAACAATAAATTGAGTAGATCATTATGCAATAGTAAGGACTCTATTGACTTCAGTAAACGCAGTGGAGTTTATAAACTTCAATGTTCTGACTGTGATGCCACTTATATTGCTAGAACTTGTAGATCTCTAGTAACCAGAGCCATTGAACATTCCAAGTTAGAGAACACCTCTTGTTTTTCCCATCATCTCAAATATCACAATCACACAATCAAGGTACCAGATGATATTTCTCCTCTTCATAACATCCCAGGTAGAGATTATCTCAAACTTGATCTTTTTGAGGATTTGGAAATAGTCAAGGAAAAGAAAAATAGCCCCAATTGTGTTAATCGTCACACCAGCGTCAACAGAGACTTCGTCAACTTTCTTTTAACCACACATCCAGTCTTACTTACTTCACATTTCTTTCTATTTTTCCGTAACTCATTATCACCCTATATAATCCGCCAAACTTAACTCTATTCTTGTCTCCATTAATACACTAACATCCCCCTTTTCCAATATCCAATTTCCTATACTCTCCAATAACTACCATCTAACTAATCACACAGGTTTTCTTAGAAATACTCACTTTACATCCATCAATTCACAATCCTTACCATAATCAGTTTCAGTATCCACAGCTTACATCTTTACATTAATCTCCTATTTCCTTTTCTTTCTTTCTCCTTTATTTCTGTTTCCTCGATTCATCTTCCATAAATTTCAAACTAACTTTTATCTATACTTACTTCATACAAGGAAACAATTAGGTAACAACATTCCTTTTATCGCCTGTAAAATCATTTAATAATTTCAACTACCTAACTTAACTTTTGCCTGACCCTGGTATACCTAATTTATTTTACATCACAGTCACTCATTGTTTTACATTCTTCCACCTTTTAAAATACAAAAAATTGCTATTGATTCTACTACACACTAAACACAAGTCTTCACTAAAAACAGCCTATTCACAAACTTAAGCACAATGACTTTTGCTCATCGAGTTAGACGATGCTTTTGCTCCTACTACTCATTCCACTTGACATTGACGGGTACTAACTGATTTTTCATACCATCTTTCTATCAGTTAGCCCTAGACTCCAGCACAGATCAGAGGTAATGCAAGTCAATAAAACCTCACCAACTACAGGGGGTCATGTAAGATCCCCCCATTTTCAGTTTTTAGTAATCTACAAATCAACAGTCTCTTGCATGTACCTTCATAAACACCTTGAGGATAGTTTTTTAATACGGAGTTCTCTACTATTTTTTCATGTGGCCATACAATGTTTTTTTGACAACTTTTATGTAAGTAGTAAAAAACCAACGTGTTCTTTTTATAGATTTAAATTTAACTTACTTGTTTTTTAATATTGGCATTTTTACTCTCTCTTTTAGTAAACTGATGATGGAATGAGTTTATTCCGAAAAGATCTTCTTTAAAATAAAAGTTTTAAGCTTTTAATAAGCATTTTTTATACCTTAATACACACGACCACCACGTGCTTTGTAATGCCTATAGATATTGTGGTATATCGTGGACACTGCCTTGGTCTTCCTCTCCTTCTTGGTTCTTTTCAATTCGTGCAGAAGATATTTAAACACACTTGAAAAATGAAGAATAAAAATGTTGCGGGTAAAGATACGATATCAAATGAACTGGTGAAATATTGTGAAGCAGCCATGGCGGAACAACTAACTACATTAATTATTATCAGAATTATTATAAAACAATAAAATATCAGAAGAATGGAGAACTGGTATTATTATAGTTTGTTGGTCAACTAACACAAATAAGGAATTTTCTTAGATAATATTATAAAGTCACTATTTAGTTCAATAACTACTGTAGTATTGGTAGCTGTCTGTAACTGAATACTGTCCACCTTGATGTTGCCGATAGGAGCAAGTTTTTTACCATATTTACGGGCACTTGCAGAACTTCGAGGAAAAGCCGATGCAGTTAAGTGGCTCTGCACACGGAACGGCGGTTTCTTTTCTTCGGATGTGCATACGAAATTCATTAAATATTTACAGTAACTTTGCCAATTTAAAATTCTGAAATTAGGTTTTCGGAGAAACGGATATCATTGCCGGTGGGACTATATAATTTTTATGAGCCAATTAAACCACATTCTGTGTACAGACATGCAAAATATATGTTTTATGCGAGATTATAAATTTGTTTATTAGTACATATTGCGTACTAATAATACCATTTTTCCTGGAGGTCATAAACAGAAAAAAATCTTAATAAAACCAGTATACAGTTGATCAGATAAAAATGCTAGGCTAGGTTAATGACCTCATAATAATACTAAATTGAATATATATATGATAAGGAAAAATCTTGGCAAAACTCGCAACTTTGTAGAAAAAAATAGATGAAGGAGGTAGGCAACCATAAATACGTATATCTGAGAAATCGGTCGTCATCAGCACGGTGCCAAGTTAGAAATGGGGCAAATTAACGTCACCCATTAGTACCCAGATGATTTTTTCGCAGTTTTTAATGTGATGTTAATATTTTTTGGGAGCAATTTTATTAAAAAACATTAAAATAAAAGAATTTACACATTCGGATTTATAAATCACTCAGTATATGATGTTACATATATGTAATGCAAAATGAGTACAAAAAATACAAAATATATCTGTAAACAGTTCTATTTATTTAAGGCTGTTTTAGCAGTTCAAGCACACTGCGATTTGAAATGGGCGTATCACTTGAGGAGCACTCTTTCTATATGCATTTTGTCCATTTTTTCAAATTTTCAACCAAAGATGGCATCGCAAACTATATTAAATGAAAAAAATACCTTGGACTTTCTATGTGCTGTATGTCCATTGACGGTAGACGAACTAAACGAAGTTTGTCCGTGCGCTATGGACTAATTGCGATTTGTTTGTTGTTGGCGGTCGTTGTCGTTGTATAGTTGGTGTCTATACTGTTAAATTTGTTTTATGTGCGTTTGTTTTTACGATTTTCAACAAAACAATATAAAATAATGGATGTAGTTGTGACAGGAGATCATGTAGTTGATGATACGGATTTCGGTAGCAGAAAAAGAAAAAGACATATAACTTCTAAAGAGCATAAAAGCAATGTTAGGTAAGCTTTAATGACTTATAGGTTACTTTTGTATTTTGGTATTGTTTACACAATATCATCTTAAGTTCTTATGTTGTGTCGTTAATATTTTAATATCATTAATTTAATAATATTAGGACAATTAGAAGTATGTTTTATGAAACAATAAACAAAAATATACAGGATAGTCATTTGGGAACATCAAGCAAACAGGGGATCTGCAGAAACAAGTTCTGCTCTACGTGATTTTCTTAATAAATCTGAATTTGGATCAGGTATAAAACAGTTCAGACTATTCGCAGTTTGTTGTGAGGGGCAGAATAATGAGGAAAATGCACACATGATGCATATGCTCATGCTATGGTTATACAGAGATTCCCCAGAAAAGATTAAATCTGTGGTACTTATTTTTCCGGTACGCGGAAATTCATATTTGCCAGCGGACCGTGTTTTCGGGCAAATACAAAAAGTTACACGATCCTAGAGCACAATAAAAACCCCTACACAATATTATGACATTTAGTCCAAGAGGGGAGAAGTTAAACAACTTGGTAGAGACTGGACTGTTTATGATATAAAAATTGCGTTAACCTTGTTTAAAAAAATTTAAGGAATCAGTGCAGCCAAACGAATTATTATTAAGAGATCACAAAACAACATCAATATTTTGCTTAAGACCGAACTGTTCTATAGAAATGATGATCCATCCAAACAATTCCAAACATTATTGAAACGTGGAAAGAAGCTTTCGACTTTACACTTACCTGCTGTAGAACTCCAAAACGAAATTAAACCAAAAAAAAACTCCAGAGCCTCTCGAAACTATTAGTGGAACTGTCAGGGGTGAATTGAGTCAACGATCCTGAGCTAACATGGTTACAACCAATTCTTTCTGACACTGGTGAGCAAAATAGCAATCAAGTTACCTTTGGTAAAACTGCCATTATTGTTCCTTTCATTTTTAAACATTATTTTGTATTTAAAAATAAAATACTATTTTTATGAAGCTACTTTAGTTTTTTTACATCGTTACTACCAAAAATTTGTCATACCGCTTGGTGTAGACAATCAAAATGCGTTTTGTCCAAGGATGACAATCTAAATGCAGTTTGTCCAACAGTTTTTTCAAGTTTTTTGGGATATTATCAATACTAGATTTTTGGACTATAGGTATAATATTTGAATGATTTTTCATCCATATTTTAGGTATATCAGTTTTTTCGTTCAATTTCTTGCCAAGCACATAGCAGTTTTTCTCTATTTGCCAGAATTACAAAAAATGGACAAAATGCATATAGAAAGTCTGCTCCTCACTTACATTTCTACACTGCTTACGCGAGACTATCTTTACTCAGTGGCGCCGGCCAACGGGTAGTTTAATGACAACAAATGCATTACTCTCCATTCAAATTAGTTTTAACACGAATTAACTGACCGTAGGTTCATGAGATTTGACGTCACGAAGGCGATAACGGTGAAAACTAAGCGACAATGATGAGTAACACGTTTCACTATTAGATTTTAGTATTTTTTAGCAATTTTCTTCAAAGTTAGAACACGCTTTTCTCGGTTATTACTGGACACAGAAAGGTGAAAAAAAAAATCAACGATTACAGAAAAAAAAACTCTTTCAAGTGATGGGCGTAAAAAGTTTGGTTATAATAGAACGTTAAACAGTATAATCCAATTTTTTCAACAGAAGTTTCAAAAAAAATAAAAAAAAGTAAAACCATCATTTTAAAAGCAACATAATTTCGAATATTGTGTCCAAATTTTGAGACATTTTGTCGGTAAATAAGTCCATAGGTTTTGGTGCACCGATAAAACAGCCTTAAAAAACTGAAAACAATGAAAAAGAAATTCAACACGTTGTGCGTGTTGTACACTAGGTGTTCCATCCTATGATATCTAATTTCATCGCCTACTCTTTGTGCATTATAAGATGGAGTCCTGCCAGTGCCTTTGGCAGATGACAAATATTTCTTCAAATAAACTTGCACAATAGCCATTCGAAAGTCTATTTGGGACATCTGAGAGTTGTTTAATTTTCGATACAAACAACACGAGTTATTGACCGAAACATCAAGAAGCCATGTAAACAATGCCCAGTACCATTTTCTGATTCTAATTTGAATCTTGTACTGTCCAGCATTCTGATCGTTTTGATCAGTACCACCCTTTTTTTTATATTCTGCAAGTACTGCTGGTTTGATAACTTGCATGTGTTTGTTTTTGCTTTTGCGAATAACATCAGGTAGTTCTTCTATCATTTTCACCATAGTGCTGCCGCCTTTCCGAAGTTTCTTTCTATGTCAATATCACGAGTTACAGATTTTCCTTGATATATCTCGAATCAATCAAATAGTCCATTACTGTATTTAGGCACCAGACTTTATAACCGAATCGTATGGGTTTGGCTCTAAAAAATTACTTGCAGCTATGTTTACCTTAGTATTTGACCATACTTAGTTGAAATCCAGTTCTTTGTCAGGAACAAAATACTTTCTCAATCTGTCCTTTACTTTATTTATAAATGGCCGTATTTTCGTGAGCTTATCACCTTATCAATATTTGTGTCAGAATTCAAGTAGAATATAAGCCTCAAAATTTGCTCAAATCTATTGCGTCTCATAGCATTATACATAAGTTCGTTTCTAATGTTAAAACTTTACTCTCAATACATACGCTTGCCGGGAAGATTATTATAACCACTAAGAATCAATATAGCAATAAAACATTTTATTTCCTCTGGCGAGACTCTGGGACGGGCAGGTTCATGGAAAGTAGCATATTGGTTTGTTTCCAGTACCAGGAGTAATAAATTTCTTCATCTATGAACATTTCGAATATATCAACAACTGATTTGTTTTCAAACAGTGAATAATTTGACTCAGGAAATTGTTTCTCGTTATATGTGAAATCTCCCGAAACCCAATCCCAGGATTCAGAAACTTTTGGATATACCATATGAGCAGGTTTAATATCGTTATCATTTGCCAAAGAAATGTTACCTTCTGTCGATTCTGACTGTTGAATAGGAATTTTTTCTCCTAGTATATCCCATCAGCACTTCTAACTTCTACATCAGCAAGTAGCTGACTTTTGCTCAAATTGTCGAAATCTCTGCCCTCGTCCTCATCTCTGGAATCCTCATCCGTCAGAGTAGCCGGATCCGGTGACGTTATATAAATTGCCTCTATGAGTCGTCTATCTCGCCGTATTCCAAAGGCTATAATAGCTTCTTGAACGGTCAGGCCTCTTTGAAGAACTGCAGCAAGGCCTCCGAAATAAAAAAACAACTTAGTAGGTACATACTGCATTTTTAAATTTCAAATTTTAAATTTTAAAGTTCTATAAACACTCTGTATACTAATACTTCGAAAAATGTTACTAAAAATACCATACAATGAAAACAAACATATGATACATAGGTAAAAACAACTGAAGAATATGCTTACATTACATCCTAACGTTACAAATATGTTGTCAATTTCCTAACCGAACAACTTTTTTATTAGAAAAAATATCCAAAGCTTTTTACACAAAAAATATGTAATTATATTTTCTTATCATCATCATTCGCTTTTACAACTCTTCGTGAGTTTTTGCCGCGTTTACTATTGCCTTCCATTGATTCCGATCCTGTGCTAATATTTCCCATGGCCTTACTTCCATCTTCTCCAGGTCTTCCCTGACTGCGTCTTTCCACCTTTTTCTAGGCCTTCCTGTCGATCTTTTACCATCTGGTCTTTCCCAAAACACATTGCTAATCAGTCTGTCGTCATCACTCCGTAACACGTGGCCTGCCCATCTTAATCTATTGGCTTTTATGTATCTTACGATGTTTCCTTTCCCGAAGAGAGTCTCTATTTCATTGTTGTATCTGCTCCTCCATTCATTTGTCACGCTGTCCCTGCAAGGACCATATATAATTCGCAGGATTTGCGTTCCCATACTAATAGCTTATTGATTTCTTTCTTTCTCAATGTCCATGTTTCACTTCCATATGTCACTGATGGTCGTATTATGGTTTTGTACATTTGGATTTTGGCACGCCTTGAGAGAAGCTTTGACCTCATTAGATGTTGAATGGCAAAGAATGATTTATTCCCGCCAGTATTCGTATTTCAACCTCCCGTTCTCCTGTGTTTTCACTGGTAATTGTTGCTCCTAGGTATTTGAATTCTTTGACCACCTCAAAATTATGATCGTTTATGGTAATGTTTTGTCTTATTCGCTGTCGTTCCTTTTTTGATACGACCATGTATTTAGTTTTTTCTTCGTTTATTTTCAGGCCTACGCTTAGTGTTGCTTCTTCAAAGTTCGATACTATATCCTTAACTTCCAGTGTTGTCTGTGCTACTGCATCTACATCATCTGCAAATGCGAGAATAATCTTTGCTCCTCTGGCAATTATGTCTGGTTTGACTTATATTTTCTTATACTATTTGTTTTTATATATTAACTTTATTATACAAAATAAGATTTATATACTTACTTTTTATCAAGTCCATTATTTGAAGCATTATTTATTTTGGTATATTTTATCCAGTAACAGATTCAAAACAAAGTTCTAATAAGATCGCATATTTACAACGATGTAAACACTATCACCTTTTGACAAGAACTGACCTGTTTTCAATTGAAAATTTGCGACGTAGCCTATAGAGGATCTATTTAGATGGCACCACTTTGCCGTTACATAATCGTAATGCTAGGAACTAATGGGCTAAGAAAAGATCTACAGGAGCCATGCGACCAATTGTGGCAGTACTGACAGAAGTCTCTGCATTCCAGCCTGGTGGTTTATCGCAGCATTATATATTTACTTAATTACTTCAAAACTACTTGTCACTGTGTAGTTTTATTTATTAAAGACCATAACTAGATAAAATATCAAGTAATATATGGTTGAACTTGTGTTAAAGTGAGGATACCAATAATAATACAGTATATAGAATGTTATATTTTAAAAACCAAAGTGAGTAATGATATCAGAAAGAATGGTAAATCTGGCCACATTGCAAGCACCAAAATTTGGAATCCTCCATATTGCAGAATAGGTGTATCCCGGATTTTAATACAATTCGGACTAAATGATAATTAGGCTTTTGGAGACTTTTGGTCCACTCTTATATAATCATTGTTGTATAAATGTTTAACTTTAATAATTAATTAGTTACTTTACTTATTAAACTTTTAATATTTTAGAGCCGCACTAGGAAGAGTGTGCTTGAAATTGGTAGTGGTCATGGGAGTGACGTGGATAGCCGATTTGATCTCATTTGCTGTCGGTGGTCCTCAAGAAATATGGTACCTCACTGATATAATCAACAGCATCCACGGTGTTTTTATCTTTATTGTTATTGGATGCCAGCCTCAGGTACGTTGTTTTTTTTTAATAGATGTTATATAAATGATGCAGTGATTTTTCTAGAATTAAAGAAAATGAAAATTTTACTAATGATAACTGATTATGGATATTTTTTGATAAAATATCGCGTTTTGCTAGAAGTCTACATATATATTTAATATAATGGAGATTTGCTAATTTTTGCTATTATACCAGGTGTGTCAAAAGAAGCGGTATAATCGAATATTTTGCGAAATTATTTACATTAAATCGAAAAACTGAAAAACACGTGTTCAAAATTTTTGAAAATCTATCGAATTACACACTAACACGACCCCTCACCACACCCCCTTAGTGGTAAGGTGAGAAGCAACTTTAAATTCTTAAATAGGAACCCCATTTTCATTGAAGATTTGGATTCCTTGTGCAAAAAGAAAAACTTTTATTAGAGGCATTTTTCGAATGGTTGATAGATGTGTTAAAACTTTTAAATAAAACGAACCAGTTGAGTGTACAGTTAAGACTGACATTATTTTGTTTCAAAAGTGAATACAATTGACAGTTTACATTGTACCAATCTTAACTTCTTGTAAATGACATGTGGCGCTAATATTTAAATTTTTTTAGTTGGTATCAATATTTTAATACCCCCACTTATTAATAAAACAAAATCTATAGGTTACCTATACCTAACAGTTTCAATAATCTATGCAGCTTTTCACAACTAGACCTTTACTCAAAATATTAGCTGGCATAACATTAGTAGGCATTTTACATTAATGATTGTGTCAGATATTAGGCTCTCAAAAACTGATATCTTACATCAACATGCTTACTTCTTTTATGATAAATTGGATTTGCTGATAAGTTTAATGCACTTTGATTACCGTTAAACAAAGTAATACATTCAGTCTTTGCAATTAAATCACGTAGCAAACTCCTAAGAAAAACAACCTCTTTAGCAGACTCTGGCAAGGCAATATATTCTGCCTCGTAACTAGATAAAGCTACCGTTTTTTGTATTGCACTTTGCCAAAATATTGCAGAGCCAAAAAGCTTAAATACATATCCAGTAAAGGATCTACGATCTAATGTATTATGCATGCCCAGTCAGCATCTACAAAACCTTGCAATTCTGAATCATCTTTTGAGTAAATCAGAGAATAATTAATAGTGTCTTTTAAATACCATTTGCATTTTCCAATAAGACTCATTATATACATTGTTAAAAGGGCTTAAGAAACCGACTGTAAATGATATATCTTTTCTGGTTAAAACAGCAAACTACCAATGAGCCTCTGATAACGAAATTATTCTCTAATACAATTGTTGCTAAAGTTTATTCGCATACCTAAACATTCCTCAATTCTCCCAAATCTTTAATAACAAATTGTTTTTCTGCTCATTTTTTAATCTACTTGTTTTACTGTCATCATTTGAAAACAAAAAAATCATCTATTCATACTGCTACGACCGTAATTTTATTATTTTATCTTTTTATATAGATACAAGGTTCACGGATTGATTTGTTATAATTAATATTTTCCAAAACATGATTTATTTCATAATTCCAGGCCCTAGAAGACTGTTTAAGCCCATAAATAGTCTTATTTAATTTTAAACATTTGATATCTGCTAAATCGAAACCCTCTGGTGATTGTATGTATATTTTCTCTGTCAAATGATTAATTAGAAATGCTGTTTTAATATCTAAATGAGTAATATCCAAACCTAATTTTATAGAAAGTGAAAAAAGCAACCTTAAAGAAGAATGTCTTATTATTGGTCCAAAAGTTACTGTATAGTCTATATATTCTCTTTGATTAATATCCGTAGTCACTTTTCTTACAGGATATGTAACTTTATTTTCACTATTATACTTTAACTTAAACAATCAATTATCAATTACACTACCATTTTCCGGCACATGTACCACATACCATGCATTGTTGTCATGGAACAATTAGATTTCATCCACCATGGCTTCTCTCCACGTTGCTCCATCAAGACGTTGTAATGTCTCCGAGACTGTTAATGGAACATTATCTATGTCGCTTGTCTCCGCACACATATATGTTACATATTCACCTAAGTCTTTTCTGTTTCTTACTCTTTCTGACTTCTTTGTACTTCTTGCAATGTTTCAGATAAATTGGGCACTTCAAAGTCTTTATCACTTAAATTATTTATCTTCCTCATAGTAGCTAAATTCTTCGTCACTAAAAAGATTACCAGTATCTTTAGTCTCAGTTTCAATATTATCTTTTGTTTACCCCCCGTCCATTGAATCTATAGTTTCTTTTTACTTATGTTCATCTTTTAAATCAAAATGAATCACTTCAAACTTTTTTGTGTCTTCCATAATTTGTACATCTCTGCTTACTATAATTTCTTTGGTGGTTTGATTATACACCCTGTATCCTTTTGTATTTTCAGCATACCCTTCTAAAATGTGTAAAATAGCCTTTTTCTCCCACTTTGACCTTTTTCTTTTGAAAAGTGTATCATCACATCGCTGCCAAATATTCGAAGGCCAATAACATCAGATTTACTATCTGGCCACATTTCAAACGGTGTTTTGTTTTAAACCAGAAGCCAAAGATCTATTTTTTAAGTAAACAGCTGTGTTTACAGCTTCAGCCCAAAAAATGTTCTTAAGATTGGCATCAAACAAAAGACACTTTGCCTTTTCTACAATTGTCCGATTCAAACGTTCGGATACTCAATTTTGTTCAGGAGTAGGGATTGGTTTTTTGATGTATATAAAATTTACACTTACATATCTTTCAAATTCTTTTGAACAAAATTCTCCACCATTGTCACTTCGCAGTTCTTTTATAAAGACCCTAACTAGCTGATTTTCAACCATACTTTTAAAATTGTTAAAACAAATAAAAACTTCCATTTCTGTTTTAATAAAATAAATCAAGACCATTTTATTAAAATTGTCTTGGAAAGTAATAAAATATTTGGAATGTCTAACGATCTGTTTTCCATAGATCCACATATATCAGTGTTTTTTGCTCTCACAACAAATTATATAGTTTTGTTTTTTAATGTCAATTTCCCCAGTCCATCTAGAATTCAATCATTCATTTTATTTAAATAAATACTGTTTATATGGCCAAACTTCTATGCCATGTTTCGCCATTGACAAATAAACAATTTTCAAAATCTTTATTAACCTTAATATTCAATTTGTATACACCATTTATCAAGTGAGCCTTTACGGTTAGTTCAGAAGTTTTGTTAAATATTTTGCAAGAATGATTTTCAAATTTAACCGAATTTTCCATTCTCTATTACATAATTTGCTGACAGGTAAAATGTTAGTGGTAAGTTCTGAAACACAAAGAACATTTTGAACTACAATATTAACATTATTCTCATCAACAACAGTTTACTTTGACCTGAACACTTTACTTCGACTGTGTTCTTGTTAGCAACTATAATGTCACCTGTATCACTTACTCTTTTATTCTTAATCCAATTTTCATGTGGACTAGCTTCCCACATACCAGTGGGAACAACATACAGTGGGACAAACGCATGTTTTTCGGAGGTTTATTTCTTCGGATATTTATTTTTAAAGTGACCGGTTTGTTTACAATGATAACATCTGATTTTCGACAGATCTCTTGCCATTTACGCCGTCATCACTTCTGTGATTGCTGCTATTTTCAAACCATCTGTTGTGATTGGTACTGGTTTTGTTACAACCATTCAAAGCAACAATTAACATCACTAAGACAACAATTTGTTTCAATTAAATCAGTAGAAATCACAACTCCCGAATGTTGGATCGCCATTATCATTGGTAAAAAACGATCAGTTATTTCCGCCAAAGGTAGCAAACCTATCCATTCATCGTCAATTTTAAAACCAGTTCCACTCTATTTTTGTCCTTTTTAACTATTTAGTGTACATAACATTGTAGCCACAACTACAACTGAGCCATCAAACAAATTTTTTAAAAGCGTTCCAAATTTTTTTTTGCGGGTTTTGCATGCTATATATAATATATATATATAATATATATATATATATATATATATATATATATATATATATAAATAGGATCACTCAGACGAGTGGTGGGTTTCTTATATCGGTCTCTAGGTGGAGAAATAAAAGACAAAGTTGATAGGCTACATTATCTATTTTGAAGACGTTTCGCTTTCGAGTTTTTGAAAGCATCATCAGTTCATCTAAAAAAATTTTTACAATATGAGAGCCACACAATCATGGAAACGATGTTAATTGTTACCTTAAAAAGATATGTAGCAGTCAATGTTATTAACAAACATGTGAATGAAACTAAGTAAATGGACATAAATACGCTGATCTTGTATAACAGTTAAGCAACTAACAACATATATGAACTTGTAAAAAATTAGCACAGCAAATGACCATGTGGTCTAAAGTAAATTCAATGTTATTTAATGTTAATAAGTGAGTAAGAACCAAGAAAATCATAAATAACTTCCAACTATTTAATGGATATTAAGCTTTGATTTTAACTTTAGGTAGCATATAAGTGATATTAATAAAATTTTAAAAAGTAGTAAATATGAAGTTACCGATCAAAGCCCTATGAATGTCGCCGAGAAAATGGCGTTTGATGAAACAGGAACGAACTAAACCGCAAAAAGACAGCCAACCTTGAGGTCAAAAATACTTTTGACAGATCAATAAGGTGTAGATACCAACCCAAATTTGGGCGGTTAATTTAAGTTTAAATGAGTTTGTTGACTACCCGGTTGCAAAGGACAACACAGTGAAAAAAGTTTGGTAGTGTAAAAACAACTACCCTCACTAATCAGCCCAAATTTACAAACAGGAGATTTTCATTCAACCTCATAAATTATGTAAATGACGTTAATCATTATGGCTAGTTAAACAGCCAGGTGGTTAACGATTTAATAATTTTCCAAACAGCCCAAGGTTCAATATACTTGGAACTGTGATTTGTAAAAGGATTCTATGAAATCAATTACAATATTTTGTATTATTTTAATATAAAATTGGAAACACTAATAAAGTATAAGTCTTTTATGCTAGATTTCAGTGGCAAGGATCTTAACTTCATTGAAATCCACTTCATGTTTTGTATTTATCGCATGTTGTCTAGGGCACAAGTGGTTTCGATAAATTAATGTCGCTACGATGTGAAGTGAGACAACCTTTTAATGATCTACCAGATTGACCAATGTAACATAAATCGCAATTAGCGCATGGAAATTTATAAATTGTGTTCACTTGTTCCAAAGTGGGACAAGGGTGTTTTTAGTTTTAGAGAACAAATTTCTAACAGGTTTTTTGCATTCTTAACAGCAATTTTAACAGTATATTATTTTGTTTATACAATTTAATAAGCTTCTCAGTAACTTGAGGGAAATAAGGTAAGGAAGAATAATGTGTGATAGTATTCTCAAGACGGTATTATGCAGATCAGTGCTATTTATAGAATTATTAGAGATGTTTTCTAAGTTGGTCACCATCGGGTATGTCATAAATTGAGGATCCATAACTATGCGAATAAAGGTAATTATTGATGATAGAGGAAGGATATGAATTCTCTATTAGAATATTTCTCAATAACTTAAAGGATTCCCTTCGATTAATTGGATGTGTCAAGTTATTTAATCTGTAGCTCAAAGCTTTTATAAGGTTTAGTTTTTGTATTTCATGGGATGACAGGAAATGGTAAGTTAAGGAACCTAATAGAGGCCATTGATTTTTTATACCAACTTGTGGTTAGGGTGTTGTCTCCCATACTGATGACACGCATGTCAAGGAAGGGTATACTATTGGTGGTAGTGTCCTCAAGTTCAACAGTGAACTGTAAATAAGGATCAAACTCATTAAAGTGGGATAGGGTACCCTAGAACCTTGTCAGGTGGTAAGGCTAGTAATAAATCATCCACAAACCTATTTAATAAAAGGGATTGAAAATCCAAAAGACCCCAAACGGTCAGAAACCAAATCATCAATACCAATATATATATAAATATATATATATATATATAATATATATAAATATATATATATAATATAGTATATATAACCAGGATCAAGCAAAAGAACTAACTTAGCTTTAGCTGTTTCTTGTTTGTTGTTTGTCTACTTCGGTTTCAGTTTCGTCTACACACGTGGACAAAGCTTCTAGAACAAGATAATTTCGCGACCTAACAACTTTGGCATCGCAGACATGTAATCCACTGCCATTTGAACCTAACACTCACTAGTAAATCGAAAAAAAAAACGAATTATTTTGATACCCTATGATACTTATGGAAACGGTCTAATATCTCGGGAAATATACTTCCAAATGAAAACTGAAAAACACTGTGTTTAATATAGACATACTCTTTTTCAACAAAATTCTTAAATAGTCTTCTTGAAAACGATTTCCGGAATGAAAATCGAAGCGTCAAATTTTTAGTTAAAAATTTAATTATCATTACACTCAATTTTGGCTTAATCCCATGTAAACACAGTATTTAACTTGGGTATTCTTTATTTATAAATGAATTAGTCAGGCGTCTAATTATAAATATACTGAAAAAAAAACATCTTAAATACCGATAATGTTTAAGTTAAACATTTCAAAATTAACATTTTGTTTGGTTTTTAGGTTTTGTCAGCTGTAAAACGATTCTGGTGTCTCAGAAAGCACAAACAAAACGGAGCTGCTGGAACGACGCATCATCACTCAACCAGTTCCCAAGGACCGCCATCTATGGGTGATACGCTGACTAACACTAACAGTGTTATAACAAACGGAACTTACCAAAACAGTACCCTTGGAGACGAGCTGTTTAAAACAAAAACTCTTTTGTATTCTTTCAATCTCGTCTAAGAATCTCCATGACAAGAGTTAGACTGTTTTAAAATATCATGACTGTCCAATATTTATTAATTTGGGCTACACAAATGTATAACAAACAGGAAAATTGTAACTTAGTGGTTTAGCAGGCAAGAAATTAATTTGAAAGGTTAGAATTTTAAAGTATAATTCATATTTTCGCCCCCAGAGCACGACACAGTTACCGCCATTGATGAGATATCTTTTTTTAACACTTTAACTGCCATGTGTACCATATAAGTACAGAGGGAATTTTAGTTCTCTGCCATGTGTACATATAATGGACACAGGAACATGTGTCCGTGGATGGTACACATTTACCATGTATTTTAATATGAATCTCATTGAGACTGGAGTAAAACCATGATTTTTAGAAATATCCTGGGATTTTTTTATTTTATGATAGTCACAGCATATTATATTAGCAAAAGTAACATATAATGCATTATTTTTTAACTAGAAAATTAAGTACTGAGAGTCAGTTTTGTTGTACATGTTTTAGTTATTTTTTTGTGAAAACATGGTTGGCAAAGAAACATTCTAAACACATAAAAGGGCTGTCTTCACATTCGTTGCATACACATGTTACTTGTTTTGTGTTTTTTTTACAGCATAAATTCGACCATGAAGTTCTTTTTGTAACAAATCGTGTATTTGCCTCTTTTATTTAAAGCATTTTGAGTGAGTTCATGTTTGGTTTGAACTTGTACCGGAACGGGTAGATTACTACATTGAACAAGTTGCATACACACATTTTCTTTTGAATTTTGTAACTGACATTTTGCTTTGATAGATGTTATTGAAAATAATTAGAGCATTCACCAACAGTACCAGTAATGTCACTTTTCTGTACCATTCGACAGACTTTCGTAAGCAGTTTAAGTAAGTTGTCCTTTGATCTTACATATCCACAAACGCTTTTGCGTTGTTGTACTCTACAATAGCTGCAGGTTTTCTTTTAGGACCTTCCGTACGCGTAACTTCTATCATATCGTCTCTCTATGTTTTTGTAGACAGAAAAAGTACGTCTCTCTTGTCATGCCATTTCATAACTACAATATCATTTTTGTTTTGTTTGGCAATGATCTCCCATTTCTTGAGTTTGGCTTCTACAACATCTTTGGGAAGATGTTCCAATAAAATGAGTGGATCTAATTTTAAAATGTAAACAAGGTTAAACGATGTATACCAGTTATTCGTAATAAGAGTTCTACCCTGTCCAATCAAAGGTTTAATCATCATTTCCATAATTAACCTTTCAGCAACCAGTTGTCCATTAATTTTTTCTTTACCCCAATATATTTTAATTGTATGGGTATAGCCTTCTAAAAAACAAATTTTATAATCAGCTTTATTCCAAACTGATGACGTTTTCTTTTCACTTACTGTCGAAAGACAGTGACAGAGACAACTTGCATCCAAATGGGATCATAGTTTCTTCATTGCAAACAGTTGGGCGTGGAATTATACATCAATGAAAATTAGCGTTCATTTCAAAAGAGCGCTATGAATGTACGCAATTCAGTGTAGTTCGTCTCTTTCATAATTGAAACGTCTTTCGTAATTGTTTCATTTACTATTCCAGTAAGAATTTGTGCTCTGCATACCTATTTATTTCGAGGACAATCATATTTATGACATCTTCAGAAAAAACACAGTTCAAAGAATAACGGTTCATTCTTATCAGCCATTTCGTTTTTCAAATGTTCAGGAATGCCAAAGTTCAAAGGACAATGGAAAATTAGAAAATTTCCGGAAACAGGTCCCCAGTTTGAATCTTGTAAAGAATTTTCTTCTGGCCTAAACAGTATCTGCCAAAAAGTCATCATCTTGAGTCAAAGAACTGTCTGATTCTTCCTTCATTACTCGAGATGACTGAACACGGGATGGTCTTGCAGAAGTATTAGGTTTTACATCTCTTACAAAAAAATATCCATATATTAGTCCATTTTCAGATAATGCTTTACTCTATCTATGTACAAATCAATATATTTTGTGTCAATTTAAATGATATTTTTATAATACGTAAAACAACCGTAAATTCATTTGTGTGAAGTCAATCTTATAGTAAAAAAAATCGGATTATACAAACTAAAATTTTATTTAAGATTTTAGTGAACAAACCTTTTCTCAAAATGTTCTTTTTTCGCTACAGGTTCATTGTCGGATTCACTCGTCAACGCTGCATATATATTACTACGTAGGATTATTACTATTAGGATCAAAATCCGAATCCGAATAATCAGAACAATCATCACCCATGTTCTAAACTCTACCCTCTAACTCACCGGCAGACTTTTCTGCTTCTAATTCCAACATTAAATAACGGAGTTGTTTGGTATTGTGCGATATATTAACTTTTTTCAACCGTGAAGTGGACGATACGCTCCCATCGGAAGTAAATAACAAACTGAAACATCTTACACGTGTCACTCTCTTCCTGGAAAGACAACAGACTATTTGACCTTTAGTGTCTATCTGTGGTACACATGGCCTGCAACTAGACATTAGTAACAATTTCACAATCGCAGGCCGTATGCACCATATGAGGAGACAGCAATTTTTTCAAAAATAACCAATAAACAAATCTGATTTTATGATTTTCTCTAAAAACAAACACAAATAGAGTAATTAAAGAGAAAAAATATTTTTGACCCAGAAGACCAAGTACAAA